CAACAAATATTATCGCTCTGTGTTATATTTGAAGAAATTAAGTAATGAAGAATCTGCATAAATGTATATGTTTTTTGTATTATGATAAAACAACGGTACCTAGAGCCATCAAATTTTGAATAACGTAATCGTCCATCCGAACATGGACACCTGGAAGCTCGAATTTCGAATTTGTTTTATTATCTATTTAATATTTTGTAAAACTTTGAAATGAATTTTTGATTAACAAACTCAACGATTTTAAAGCAAGCAATGGCAACACTGTACGGGAAAATAACATTTTTATCACCAGCCCGCGAGACTGTCTACCGGAAATTCTAAAGAAATGCGGTTTTTAAATATTTTGTGATATTGCTGTTGAATTGAATTTTATATGGTTTAAGTGCGAAGAACATGATATTTAAAAATAAAGGTAGCACACAAAGCATTAAAAAAAGGCCCCCTTGGGCGTAATATAAATTCTAAAAGCTTTCAGATTTTTTTTTTATTTGATTTCTTACGTCAGACGTGATGAATCTACTAATAATTGAATGCTGTCTAATTGAGTGGAGCTTAATAAACACATTCATAAAATAATATCGTAAACATTTATTAATCTGTTGCTTTAGATCCATTCAGTTATAGAGAATATTGACTCACCTTAATTTTAACATCATCGAATTAGTACATCCGTAATTTATTGTAGATTTTAATGCCCCATTAAGTAAAATAATTGCTACGTAAGCCTTCACTTCAAATATTCTGTGAAAACAAAATATTCCAATGGACTGCAGCAGAATAAAGCCACTGCCGGATGGAAAGTATTTAAAATATTTCCCAGGAAATTTTCATGTCAATAGGAACGATTGGGGGTTGAGAATCGTGACTCATCCCCTCGGGGTCATGCATGCGTAGTGCAGTCCCCATGATTAAGTTCACTAGCCATGGTAATCGTCTGATACTCATTTTTTCCTCAACTTCACTCCATCTATGCAAACGTATGCTTGAAGTCATTATTACACGCTTGAAAAGCAAGGGTGAGAACTGCATGCGTCAGAAATGTATATAGGGGCGACGACAAATGCATCCGAAAGTGCCACTTTAAGTGAATGTGGTATATGATAGCTTAGTCTGCAATCTTGCGGTAGAAATTTTTGAAATCTATCATCCATTAAAGGGATTTTAATAACTGCTAATAATTAAATTCTTATAATGAAGAATCTGTATGTATTTATGTTCGTCTCACTTTGAAAAAGCGGCAGCATCTGCAGCCACCAAATTTTAAACACATGTAATTCTTCATCCGAACATGTGCTCCTCGAAGCCCGAAATTTTGAATTTTTTTCTTTAAATTTCATCAGTTTAAAAGGCATGTGTTGCCACTACCCAAATAAAATATCTTCCATACTCTATTCTATCATTGGGCCAAAGCGTCAGATATTAATTTTTTCTTTCGATTTTCATCTGTTTGTTATTCATTAAGAAACTAAGTGACTTAAAGCAATAAAAAGCAGTTCTTTTCTTTGTTATTATTAATTAGCCGTTTGTACAACCGGACCCCTAAAATGTTTATTATAAAACGCAAAATATATAATGATTTTAGTGGATCCAGTAAGTGTCATATCACGAGTCCAGCTAGTATAGTTTATAATAATGGAGAGGAAGACCTGCGCATTTGTTGCTTTTAAATCGCTTTCTTAATCAGTAAAATACATTAAATTAAGATAAACAAAAGAAAATTTAATTTTGTATCCAATAGCAACACATTGGAGGGAGAAAGGTTAAAAATATTCTATTTCAAACCGTGGCAACAGATTTCTTTTAAATCTCTGAGTTTTCTAATTAAATTCAGAGCATAAATTGCCGCTTACGCTTAGTCGAGTGGGAACAAATTACTTTCGAATCGTCGAGTTTGTTAATAAAAAAAAAATCCTTTAATTTCACTTAAAATAAGAAATATGTATTATTAATAATTATAATCTATATGTATCTATGTATTCTCCTTGCGCTGTGGGAACACGGCGGCACATCAAAAAAAAAAAAAAAAAAAAAAAAAGGAGCCTCTAAATTTTGCATGCATGCAGTGCTGTACCTGAACATGTGCACTTCGAAACCGCAATTTTGATTCTGTTATTATTTATTTAATATTTTGTGCGAATTTAATAAATTTTCAGTTAACAAACTGAGCGAGTTAAAAGCGATCAGTGGCAACACTAACGGAAATAAAAATGATTTATTTGGACAACAACGGCGATGTGAACCTAAAATAATGACGTGATTTCAAAACTGAAACTGTGTAGAAATACTAATGTTTATTTTTTTATAAATAAATAATTATAAATTCCTTGTTTAGCATGTACGACTTCCACTGATAGTGCGAACGTAACAATGGCGACGTAAGCCTAGGTGAGTGACTTGAGTACAACTTTCTAACATAAACGCCTTGAGTGTATAAACCGTGCTATGGTTTTTCGAAATCTTATGTGGACCGAAATTCCACGTCTGGAATGAGAAATATGGTCTACTACTTTTAAATTATCTCTTCTTTCAAAATGATGCGTGGTTTTCCCCATGTGTAACGTGTATACGAACCAGTTTCCCTTAGAAAGTCCTTCACGAAGGCATCCCTCCCCTTAGGCAGATAACCCTAGTGTGCTTTGCCATAATTAAATAATACAATCCAATCCAATTCAAAATGATGCATGTAAACAAGCTGTGGATTGAAAGATAAATTTTTGCGTTTTCCGAAGAGAAATATTCTTATTCCGTAATTCTAAACCGTTGTGAATTGCATGGTATTAAAATTTCTCTAAGTACAAAATAAGCAACATTATTAATCGGAAAGGTTTGTTTTCAGGTATGTAAACAAATACCTGAAAAAGGTTCGCACTGTTTCTAATGTTAAATTAAATCTTTAATAACAAGAAAAAAATTCTCCGATGTAGAAATCAATAGCAAGTCTTTAAATACATCTGTAGCAATAATAAATAAAATAATAAACCATGATTTAGAATTTAAGAAAACTAAAAAGCAAAATGTTCACCAGCTTTTGTCGATGCATGTGGCTCAACGCAGAGCAATTTCTAGAACTTTATATGATAACTATTGTTAAAAGTCTTGTATAAATGTAAATAATTTTAGTGAAACTATATGTAATAGCGTAGTACATTTGTATAATGTGACGTGAAGTGCTTCGACTCTGCCAGAAAAATAAGGTTACAGGGCAAGTCTATTTAACATTGAGGTAAACGGATATCTCTCTAAATTGGCGAGATATCGTCAAGTTTGCGATCGTTTGAGGAACTTATTTTTTATCTTTAATTAATTATTATTATAAATTACTTCTTGCCAAATTCAACAAGAAGTTGCTAAATTTGGCGACATTTTGTTCCAGTCGCTGCATAGCTGTAATTGGTATTGTATCTGTACTGGCCCTTATGTATAATCGAAACAGCATATACCTTCCAGTAATTTCAATAAATGGAAAGTACTGGAAATTTCCCTGTGGCAGAGGGAAATCGAAATCTATATCAGAGAGGAGAGAGCATCAGTTTTCAGTTTTAAGCTCAGAGTTGACTTCTGATTATCGAGAGATCTCTATGCGAGCTTCGCTCTTCAGATGCGCTTTGCATTGCATTAGTAGCTTGCATCAGAAAATACTGATTGTGCTCTGTCGTACTGAGAAAACCTGTGCGAGTACGCTTGTGGAAAGTTCCAAAGATGTAAGGTGTTTCTTTTGGAAAAATAAATTTCATCAAGCTATCATCGGTTCGGTGAGCATTCAATGCAAAAGTGGAAGTTTCAAAAGTGGGACTGAATGCTGGTGGCAAGAGCGATGAGGGAGGAATTACGACACTTGTTGAAAGCCTTCGCATCATATCAAGAAAAAATCGAAGGAACCGTGGAGTCAGTTAAGGTAGATGTGAAAGCGGGCGAAGAATTCATTAAGGAAGAGTTGAAAGCTGTTCGAAAAAAGATGGAAGGGTTAAGTCCGTTAGTCCTCAAGTCCGTTGGAAAAGAAATTAAAGCGGGCTAATAAAAGATTTCAACAGGTCAAGAGGAAATGAAAAGAGAAATTACCTCCATAATAGAAAACAAATTCGAAGCTATGGAAGGAACAGTAGACACGGTTGAAAAATAAAATTTAAAAAAACTGAGCAAAGAGTTTTTGCTGTCGAATAAAAAAATCAGAGAAAGAATTTTTGCTGTCAGACACCAAATCGAAAAGCAGAAAAACATTTTGATGCCTTTAAACGTCTACCTATGTCTTCTCGACCCTCTCTGAAACTATCCACTTGTGATAGAAAGGCCTCCTGGCAAGTGCATATGTTCTCTGTAGTGGTAAATGTAAATGAATGGTATTCCGAAACTAGGGCTTGTCATTTCTCCGCTTCTGTGAAAGCAGACTCTGCCCGAAAACCAGAGACTACACTTTGAAGCTCTAGGCGGAGCGCTGAAGCTGTGCTTTGACGACAAGTGTTTAAAAGACTTTAACAGGCATCAGGTGAAATCTCGACAACAGAAGCCCACGAAAATATTTCAGGAGCTACCCACGGATGCTGAAAGGCCGTCTCAGCTCGCCTTTTCCGACTGCCCAACGAAAAACAAGGAAAATTCTGTCCCCGCATTAATTCTGCTCGAGTCTAGGAGCCAGTGGATCAAGTGACTGTCCGTCTACAAGATTTAACCAGACAATTCAATGCCCTAAAGCAGAATATGAGTAGAAACAAACCGATTCTAAAAGTGCTGAAACTGCGGTGAAAGGCACATATGAAGAACTGCAGAACAGCTTGAGACACGACAGGTAAGACCGCTCCCAACAGTGCGGAGGGAAACTAATTAATGACCATCTCGTGGAGCGGAGGTTGCCAGACATTGTTAATGTATTAAAATCTAACTCAATGTGCTGTCAAGCGAAAGTTTTATTTCCGATATTTACAGAACAAATTCCATTTCTTTCCCAGTGACTATCAAACAGAAAAACATCATCAAGATCAAGCAACAAGTAGTGCTTCGAAAAATACCACTGCATTCCTTGAAGTAATGAAGACAGATACAGGTATTGCATATATACTTTGTCTGTGACTTTGATCTCTTGAAAAAAAACTCTGTCTAAGCGCAAATCCACCACTATTGATGAACTCTGGAAAGTAGTGGGAGAACTGATAGCCGTGGGAATGCTATGAAAGGCCCTTCTGTCATGGAAATCACCATGCAAACTTATTGCCCAGTGAAAAGGCTATGAGTTTCAACATTTAAAAAAATGCTTTTTAGGTTTTAAATATTAATTAAACGGCCGGAAATCGTTCTAAAAATGTGTAAACACCCTCTGTATTATATCATGCAAACCTTAAATTACACAGTAATTCACAAACTAGCTAACAAAGGGTTGTAAATGATTATAAAAGAATTAATTGAATAAGGAAAAGAAACAATTTTCATACTTCGTGGGCAGCACACTGTCTCTTACTTGGGTAATCCGAACAGTTTGTACAGTAAATGGTATGAAAAACATTAACACATATTTGGAGAGGATTGTTCGATGCTTTTGCACATCATAATACATTTTTAATAGAAGTTTAAGCTATCACCTATGCCAAGAGTTCTTTTTACAGTCCTTTCACATCAGCGTGAATGACTGAAGTATTGTTAATCTTCCAATTCTTCCACAGAAGCACAGCTGGAATGGAATTTTTATTGTTTTAGTGGTGATGAGCGCTGCTAATCACTATATATTAACACCTTATTTCATGGGCAGGATGACCATCTGCACCGATTCTTGAAGTTTTTCAAACACAGGTATTTCTAGGGATTTGGTGAGCAGGTCTGTGATAATGTCGGATCTTCTGCAGGAGTCTAGGCTTAAGATACACTTTCGTTGAAGTTCACACATGAAGTTCAAAATGGAGATTGATACAGGTATCGATATATACCTTTTCAACGTATTCCTGCGAAGTCCTCTGACGTTTCATGTATGGGCTGCCTTTGGTCTCTCGAAAGGAGCTCTTTCTATGCAGACGATTAATGGACTCTGGAAAGTAGTGGAAGAAAAATAAAAAAAAAAAAAAAAAAAAAAAAAAAAAAAAAAAAAAAAAAAAAAAAAAAAAAAAAAAAAACAAAAAAAAAAAAAAAAAAAAAAAAAAAAAAAAAAAAAAAAAAAAAAAAAAAAAAAAAAAAAAAAAAAAAAAAAAAAACAAAAAAAAAAAAAAAAAAAAAAAAGTGGTAGTAAATAGAAATTGTTTCTCTGGACTGCATCTTTCAAAATCAATATTTAATCTTTAATCTTCTTTTTAATGTGATTGATTTAAAAATAAATGCATTTCAATACTGAGATGTTTGATAAGAAACACTAAATATTTTTATGAGATGACACTACCTGAACTCATTAAAATCATTACATACTTTTTTCTGTTTTATGGTAACGCTTTTAAGCGGCTAGTTTCAGAGAAGTAATGCAGTGAATTAAAAAGTGTGCCAACCCCTAACACTCTGACGGGAATTCTCACGGAGGGAGGAATAAGATAAAGAGTCCAGTATTTCATTCTAAACGGAATTAAGTGTTATTTATTTTCCTGTGTTCAAAATATTTTTAATTTTATTAAAATTTGTTCATACTTTTTCGTTAATTACATTAGAAAGAAATTCTGTTTCCAGGGTGTCTTTCTGAAATATTTTCTCAAATATTAGATGATTTTTAGCTGGAATATTAGATGAAGCGTCGGTTAAATCAAAAATCATATTCAAGCTACAGTTAATGCTGTTTTCGTATTAACACTCCTTTTACTTTAATAGTTTAGTACGTTAAATATTACTTATTACTAATTTTTGACTCCAATGTAATTTATTTTCTATAAGGGAAAGGAGAACGAAAAATTCTTTTTAATATTTTTGAAGTCTTACAACTGAGTTAGTATAAAACACAAAGAAATAATTATTTTAATGCCTATCAAAATTTTGTTCTTATATTCAACAATACGCATTCTAAAAATTCCACTTTACAACTGTTTTAAGTATGCATAGCATCTCAAATATTATGCTTTCCATAACCTATTAGTAGATGGAACGTACAATTCCTGTTGTCGCGAGCAGTTCTCCAGAAAGTTATTTTTCACGGTTTGGCAACACCGTATTTTTTTTATTTACGCTTAGAATAATAAAAACGAAAGGCGAGAATGCGTACGTATGCAATTTTCCTATTTCTGCTCGCTTTTATATAATTCCGATGAGGAGGTACATGGTTTTGAACCATAGGCACTCTGTAGTTTTTAATCATTGGCCATGTATTCGTACTGAGGTGTATTGCCTGTTTTATTTTAATTACGTAGGTGGATTGCCTGCTTTTTGATTACTAAATCCCCCCTTTTTGTTTTTCGTTTATTTAATGGAGAACCGACTGAATGATTAAAATTCAGGTAGAGTCTCACAACACCTGCTTAAATACTTTATAAATACATCAGCCAATAGTACTTTTAATTTATGTTTCCAGTTAAAGGCATTACGTGATATATTATTTAATAATTAGATCAATTTAGATACAAGAGTTAAAATTTTGTGCTTGATTTTTTTTGTAGCGAGTACAATTTTTTTTTTTTTTTTTTAATATAAGTATTGAGACCGGAGGAATGTGTAATAAGTTAAGCTTTTTTACTTTATGTAAAATAATTTTACCCAAGAATTAATCTTTGGGTCATTTAAAGCATTTTTGTACCTGGAAATATATGTCTAAGACCAAAAAGGTTATGAAAATAAAGTTCGGGTAAGGGCTTTTGTGACAGGGAGCATACAAATAAGTGGCAACAAGCTGAGTTACAGGAAAGTGCGTTCTAAAATTATTGCACAGAATTCGACAGTTAAACAAATAAATGAATAAAAACAATACATATTCTATAAGAATAAAATTTGTGAGCATGTGTCTATTAGTTGGATTGTAACATCATCTCCTCCGAAACAGCGGGAGTTGAGTTTGGAGAGAGGATTCTAAAACTTCATGGAAAGCTATTTCGACCATTCTCATCTTCGTACGACGTTAATCAGCCCAGATATTAATTAAAAACTCTGGAAATGCTAATTTTCGCACTCATCTTTACGAGTGGCAACAGTCATACGCACTGGAGATAAAAATCTGCTTTATTTCGAGAAGTGTTGCCACAGCTCGCTTTTGTAGAGTTGTTTGTAAAATATTTCTAAGTTTTACAAAATATGAAATAAAAATAGCGTTACCAAACATTAAGCATATAATTATTACACAAGGTCATATTCTGATGTTGAAGAAAACACGCGATTGCATGTGACGTCATTGTGTGTCGAAAATTTTTCATCAATGCCAGCATTTTAAATAAATAGCTGCTGTTGGCAACTTTTTTGTTTTAGGTTAGGACAATTGATACGCTATGTAAACTGTCACGTTAATTCTTTAACTAATACTGAGAAAAATTTGTTATATGACATTAAATTTAAATCATGACGTCATACGTATGCTTATTAACCTGGAAGTATCAAAAGTTTTTGTTTTTTTTTTTGGTTTGCAACAAAAAAAAAAAAAAAAAATATTTACGAATTGTTTGTTGCTTTGAAAGAATGAACTGATTTCATTGATAATAAAATGTTTTTATGCATTTTCTTTTCAGGTGTACATAGAGCTTATAAATTTTGCTTTGGCCGCGGGCTTGCCTGCTAGAATGATATCAAAATGCACAAAAGGAACAATACCATCAAATTGATTCAAACTGATACAAAAGTTTACAACAATACTAGATCATTTTTATGATGGAAAAGTCAACAAATATGCAATCACTGAATCGATCTCTCCCTCTCTCTTTTTTTCTTAATTGAGTTTCATTAACCCTTTAGTTAAAATTATTCTTAACTTCTTTTTTTTTTTTTTTTTTTTTTTTTAATGATTTCCGACGTAAAATCAATATAATAATGTTCGTGACAAAGAAAGCAATTTAATCCAAAAAATTTTGCTATATAAAATGAGTCTAAAATCATAACAACGGAAAGTAAAATCTGCAAAAAGAAATTAGTTAAAAAGTTTCGATCTATACGCGTTTAGACACGAATTAATTATTTCCTGCACAATTAGGACTTTATGCGGAGCTGAAAAGAATTTTTAATTAGATCCGCTTGGCAACGGGGGAAAGGAATCGCTAATTATAACTTCATTTTTCTTTTGTTATATTCCCGCGTAATGAGGGTAGGACGCAATTAAAAAAGAATTTTTTTTTTTTTTTGGTTATTTTTATATTTATTTTCTTGTTCAGGTGTGTTTTTGTTCTTTTCCGATTCTTTTTGCCAGACGTTCAATTAATTTTTCTTGTCTCGTTTTCACTTTCTTCGATTGTAATCCAGCTTGAATGAAATGTATTGTAAAAGTGCTTTGGAATTACAATCATAGTTAGAAAGACTAACTTTCGTTTTCTTATTAATCGGCAAAAGCAGGTGAAATTAGAAAGTTTCGTATCATATCTCTATCTCTTTTATTAAATAATGAAGAATCTATTACATGTCGTTGTGTTACCGTTTGGAAAACAGTAAAATGCTTAAGAAATCCTTCAACAAAATTCGAAATTTTCATCAAAACTTCGAAATGATAGATTTTAAAAAATCTCTCAAACAGATTTCGTAAGTAACTGAGATTTAGAAAATACATGACAACATTAGCTATTTCCAGTTTAGTAACGCTATTTCCATTTTAGTTTCGAGTAAGTTCTGAATTATGATTGCCAGTGAAATTTGTTATTCAAAAAGCATACACAATTAGGAAAGCAGAGATAAAATTCAGCATTTGGTGCATATGTGAGTAGTCTTATCAGATTTAAGAGACAGCGAATGGTGGATTGATTACAAGATAAAGAATCTTTCTACCGCGAAATGGAGTTGATTGTCTACTATTGGTCTGCCATCCTAACTACCGACTATCTGGTCCAAAAAGTACTGTGAGATCAACTTTTATATTCTTTCTTCAACATTCACCGGCTCGTTAAAATGCATCGTCCGATTTTGCTTGAAATTATTACTAGGTAAAGTCCGTTACCCCGTCATTAATTATTATTCACATAGGGCTATTACTGATTGGAACCCAGACTTAGCAGGCTTTTCCTGTTTTAATAAAAGGCAGTTGGTGTGTCGAAATACAGTGCATCGCATGTTGTGACTAAGGTTATGCATACACGGAGCAGCGGATCTCATACTTTTCAGAACTTATAAAGGAAAAATTGGCAATCATATAACAGGAAACTGTGAAGCTATATAGTGAATAATATTCAAATTTAATCTATATACGATGAAGCCTAAATTAAGGAACTTTATTCTTTCTTGAAGCCCATTCGTCAACAGAAATGTCTGCAAATTTAAATAATTTTTCCCGTATGAACTAATGTAAAATGCATTAATTCTTTCCTAAATCACAGACGATTGCTTATTCAAGCTTTACAACAGTACTTTCACCACGCGTTCATAACCCTAAATATGCTGACGTTCATAACTAAATATAAATGCACATTAACTATAAACGAAAATCATTAAATATAAACACAATATTTAACATATAAAGTATATGAAAAATTAATTTAATTTTACTATACTTGCACGTAGGAAAGGGAACAGTGTAAACGAAAAATGGTGAGGCAGATGTTATAATTTGGAAGCGAAATTCCCATTCATAAAAACATTAGGTTACTATCTGTTTGGGGAACATCTTCTTTTAATTTTTCTTTATTTTTAAGCTCCACTCGACTGTGCTTGAAACTCACTGGGCTTCTGTTTCGCTTAAAAGTTTTCCAATTTGATTTCTTGTTGCCTAGGTTTTAAAGTATTTCGAAAGTGAGATATCGCATTGTCATTAAAAACGCTTATGCTGTGGCTTGCTACTTTCTCGTATCTGTCACGGTGATATCACTAAAAGAAAAATTTGCCATCTTATTTCATTTTGCACATATTTCACAAATCAGAGAATATGATAATTTTTCTTTCTTCTTACTCTTCTGAAGACAGTTTATCTTCAGTTGCCTTTCATTGCTGCTTCTAGAA